TCGGGGTTGCTGCGCGGGATGTAGAAAGGCTGCACGCCGCAGACGCTGCAGAACTGGTGCTTGGCCGTGTGCGTGTTGAACGTGTACGTTGTGAGCTTGTCGGCGCCGGCCGTGAGGCGGAAGGCTGCGCTGGGCACGATCGTGTGGACGTTCTTCTTCATCGCGCAGATCGAGCAGTTGCAGTCCCACGCGACGAGGTTGGCCGGCGCCTCAAACTCGAACGTCACGGCCTTGCAGTGGCAGTACCCCGTGTGCTGGACCATCGCTTGCCAATTTCGAAATGGTCGTTCTTATTTGTGGTCAATAATGGCACCACGCCATATTTAAGGACCCATCGATGTTTCCTCGAACATTGCACCTGGTCAAAACACCGCATGACGCCGAGGCATGATAAATGGAAGGGAGATTCAGGACAAACGCATATTTCTTCTTGGCCCGCAACGTTGTAGGATCGTGTAATAGCGTAGAAGATAGCCGAGTTTAGAGTTAGAGGTCGATTTCGCCAGTGAACGTCTGCTCGGCGGGCCCAATCAAGTAGACATTTGAGAACGTTGCGCCGTCGTCTTCGAAGCGAATCTCGAGGCAGTCGCCGCTTTCAACATTGACGCGGACTGGCGACGTAAAGTGATGCGTCCGCGCTGTTACGAGAACAGCCGCGGCCACGCCAGTGCCGCAAGCCAGCGTCTCGACCTCGACGCCGCGCTCGTACGAGCGGATCGCAAGGCGGTTGTGGCCGAGCACCTGGACAAAGTTGACATTCGTGCCGCGCGGCGCATAGTGGGCGTGGTGCCGCACCTCGCGGCCAACGGCCTGCACGTCGACCGCCCGAACATCCGGCACGAAGAGAATGGCATGGGGTACGCCCGTGTTGGCAAAATGCACGCTCGTCGTCGGACTCTGCTGCAGTGCGATTATCTCGTGGAAGCGAGCATCCTTTGGTGCTGGAAGCGCAATAGCAATCGTATTGTCCGGTGCGGCCGCAACGGAGACGACGCCAGCGCCTGTCTCGAACGTGAACGGGTCGCGGTTGCCGACGTTGTCGTGAACGAAACGGCCAAAGCAGCGCGCTCCGTTACCACACATGTCGGCCGTGTCGCCGTCGCTCTGGAGAAAGGTCCACGCCCAATCAGCCACGCCCGTGCGCGACTTCTCCCAGAGCAAGATACCAGCGGCGCCGACACCGCGGAAGCGGTCGCAGATGTGAATGGCTTGCGCCGGCGTGAGGCTGAGGCCTCGCGTGCGATTGTCGACGAGGACAAAGTCGTTGCCGGCGCCTTGCATCTTGGTGAACGGTACCTTCATGGTGGCGCTCACTTGGGTGATGCGTGGATGGATGCTTGGAAGAGTGGCGCTGGAGTTGGCTCATACTGGAAGTAGCCAATGGGCTTTCAAGACACAGAGTATGCTCATTTCATTGGTCAATACCGTGACAGGCTGATTTAACACCATTAAGCGACGGCTTCTTCGGAACCAATAAAAATATACAAAAGCACTATAGGTTGGCTGATAGATTGGCATGAATTGAATTTGGTTCGCCATTCAATGACGTGCATCTCCTTAATAGTATTAATAGTGTTTACAAAACGACGTATTGCAGTTCAGTAGCCCAAGACTCCTGTCTTTGAAAGGAATGCTTTCGTGCTGGGTCATGTCTCCTTTCCAATGCCCGCCTACGTTGCGCCTGCGTCTCGATGGCGACTGGAAGTACGCTGCTTGAGCTCGCTGGTTGAAGTGGCCCTGCTAACACTATTTAAATACATACTTCATCCAATCAAACGCGCTAATGACATATCCAAGCTCTAGGATTCGTGCGTATTTTATTTTCTCAATTTAATATCCAATTGGCAGCACATCCTGCCTACCAACGTGAAATAGAAAATTGAGATCGCATCAAAACGCATGCATTTTATTCCTCACACTACCCTTCGATTAAGTTTCCTGTTGAAGTGCGAACCCTTGCCAATCAGCGCAACGAAGCACCTTGCAGGACGGTCGCCAGCAAATACGATCGCCCCATTTCGACATCTTCCGCCACTTGATGCATCTTCTGCTGTCGACCGTGCTCCTTGGCGTCGCCGCTCTCGCCCGCGGCGCCGCAGACGACTGGGACCGGTGCACGGCCATCGCAGTCGGCCGAAATGTGCATCACCTCTCGCACGACCGAGCTCATGCGAATGGTATCGTAGGCCTCGACGACAGGCGCGCCCATGACGACCCACGCGTCTGACTGCAGCACCTGCGACTTTCGCATCGGCAAGGTCCCGGCAAAGACCCACGGGCCTAACGCAACCCGGGATCTAATCACGTTTCGCCTCGAGTACCCTCGCTACGGTGGGCCGCACTCTCTTGAATGGGATAACTCACAAGCATCTATGTAGTCGGAGACGGGCGCGGTGACGTGTACACGCTGGCCAACGTCGACTCGTCGGTATTCAACTGGACGGCGTCGCCGTCGATGGGCTCGATCCCGCAGGTGCCATCGACCCACGCCTACATTTCTGGCTTGTACGCGATCATGAACGAGCACCAAGTGTCCATGGGCGAATGCACGTGCTCTGGGCGGCTCATCAGCGTGCCCGTAAGCGCGGGTGGGAAGGCTCTCTTTGACATCTCGGAGCTATCGCACGTGGCGATGGAACGGGCGACGACGGCGCGGGAAGCGATCGCAGTCATGGGCGAGCTTGCCGAGACGTATGGGTACTACGGCGCCGTCTGGGACGGTCCCAATGCAGTGTTTGAAGCCGGTGAGACGCTCACTGTCGTCGACACGACCGAGGCGTGGGTCTTTCACATCCACCCGGATGACACGGGCGCGTCAGCGGTCTGGGTCGCGCAGCGCGTGCCTGACAACGACATTGCGGTCATTGCCAACCAGTTTATCATCCAGCACGTCAACTTGAGCGACAGCGCCAACTATATGGGCTCGAAAAACATGGTCGACGTTGCGATTCGGGCTCGATTGTACGACCCGTCGGTCAATGGCACGTTCAACTTTGCCCGCGTCTACTCGCATCCGCTCGTGCCCGACCAGTACTACGCCACGCGTCGCCAGTGGCGCGTCCTTACGCTCGCCAACACGCACCTAGAGCTGAGCCCGATGACGGATGTGTATGGCCTCAGCTATCCCTTCTCGACGCCGGTACGCTGACGCATGGTTTTATTGCCTCGATGTATCTGACCCGTAGGTCTCGTCGCGACTCTCGCCAGACGATCTCATGGCGTACCAGCGCGACCACTATGAGGGCTCAGCCTACGACCTGACGCAGGGTCCGGCCGCGGGGCCGTACGGCAACCCCGATCGCTACGGTGCGTCGGTAATATCAATGTTTCAAAACATAAGTTGCGTGCGGATAGATATCAACTTCAACGGCAACATGACCAAGGCAACGGCGCTGACAGGTCACTTTGAGCGCGCGATTTCCATCTTTCGGGCGAGCTACTCCTTTGTGGCGGTGCCGGACAAGTCGAACGCGTACATGGCGACGCTGTGGTTCGGACAGTACGCGCCGCACGCAACATCGTACGTGCCTGTCTACGCCCACGCAAATGCTGTCCCGTCAGGAATGGCGACCGGGTCGTTGCACCGATTCGAGATGACGACGTCCATGTACTGGGCGTTTGCCGTCGTCGGCAACTGGATGACGCGCTTTTACGTCGTCATCGCGCCGGTCGTGCGTGCGGTGCAAGCCGAGCTCGAGGGCGCGCTGATGCTGCGTCAGACCAACGTCTCGAAGAGCGTGTTCGCGCTGGGAGAGAATGCGACCGCAATCACCGCATACCTCCAGACGCAGTCGGACGCTGCCGCGCAAGCCACGCACGTGCGCTTTCAAGAGCTCTTTGGAAACCTCGTGACGCGCTTCCACGACGGCTACGAGATGCGCAACCTCACGAAGGCGCCATCGATCGCCATGTCGTCGCTCTTCTACCCCGAAACTTGGCTCCATGACGTCGGGTACTTTGACGAGCTGCCGACGCGCCCACAAGCGCCGCCCGCGACCGTGTCGAGCACTGTCGTGTACGCGTTCGTCGCGCTTGCGCTCGTGGTTTGTGGCAGCGTCGGCTTCTTCATTGGCGTCAAGTTTTACATGCGCCAAAAGCACGGCTACACAAGCATTCTATGAGCAGAAGCCAACACGTCTAGAAACTAGACCATCTCGTTTCATCCTTTGGACCACGTTCGTAATCAGCTGCGCAGTGGGCAGAGTGTCGTACAGGTCCCTCCGAGTCCTTCCACGTCAGCTACAGCTAATGTGCCGCAACGTGTGGGCTACTACTGCATCTGCGGGACCTTGTTACACGGCGCCCGAGCTCAGCGATGCGGCGACAAGGCGACGAGTCGAAACGTTTCGCTGCGATGCACTCCGAGCGCAAAATCGAGTATCGCCGTTTGTACCGTCGGTTGCAGTCACTACGGTTTACTCGACTGCTGCGCACGCAACGCTGCAAGATGGTGTTCCTTACATGGGCAGTCCGCGCACATGGGCGCGGCCAATGAAGCATCAGCTTGCAGCGCAGGACGAAGCGCGTGATGGCGCCTCATGCAGCATCGATGCTTGGTTGGTGCATAGACAAGGCGTTTGGCTGAGCTGGCAGCGTTGGCGGGTTGAAGCCACGCTACGGCTCGTTGGCGCGCCGAACCCAGAAAACGACCTTCGCACAGAACACGCGAGATCGAGCAACGCGGCAGAGACGTCCACCGCTGGGTCCTCTACAGCGCTCTACGGTCGCCACGATCTCGCTCGGTCCGCAGCTTGTTTCCTGCCAGCAGGAACAGACCAAGAAAATGCAGTGCGTCGAAACCCACGTGGGGATTTCCACCAATCACGTGTCGACTCTGACCCGCACTTTCTCGGCGAACGACCATCATTTAATGGCGTTTCACCGCTCCGACATACAAACGTTAGCATTAAACTGGATGTTTTGTCTTTAAAATACGGGGACAGGGGCCATGGGCAGAGGCGCGTCTGATTGGTTGAAAAGGAAATAATGCCATATCCAATGATCTCCGAACGTGTTTTAAACCGATTTCGAAGCACCTTGAAGAGACACGAGCAACCCGGGGCAAAAATCTCAAAATAGTGTAAGGTGAACGGCCTCGATGCCATTCGTGCCCAACGAGCATGTCTGTTCACTACTACCGCAGCGCATTTAAGAGAGGTTGCGAAGCGGAACGCAGTGTAGTAGCTGACGGGTCGTGATAATTTGGCCAAGGACTGTCGTGCTTGTCCATTGCACTGGACGTGTGTTCCGAGGTGGCGTTTGAACCTGGCTTCACACAAAGCAAGAAGATTCCTCCTGGCGCCTTTCTTGGCGCGCTTCCTGTTGACACACTTCCTCGTGACGGAAGTGAAGCTCCTGCGCATCAGGTACTTATAAAATGGTGTTGTCCTCTAGATGTGGCGGCTGTGTTGTGGTGCGCTGTGTCATGGCCACGAGAAGTCCATCACACCATCAAACTCGTACATCCCGACGATGCGTTGCCAAGGCAGCCCTTGCTGCGGCTACTTCGACTTGCGCTTCAACCCGCGGCTACTGCCATTCATCTCGTCACATCTTCGCGGCGGCGCACACCGTTGCTCTCAGTTCTATGTCCTGATGTCAGACTGCACAGAAAAGAGCGTGCGTAGCATGCAGCGCCTCGATCAACAGCAAAATGCGGTGCATGGCGCATCGTGCTCTGCAACGACGCGGTGAAGTGATGCGGCCCACCGCCACGTCAGCGCGAGGACACTGACTACCATACACTATTTACGTTCAAAAGAACACTTCGTGTTTTAAACACATTCACAGCGCCAAGGTGTTGGAAACCACCCGTCGCTTCGACGGAATCGCCAAAGTTAGAATTTCTGACGCAAAATTAATGGACGGAAGCCAACCTCGTAGCAGATACGTCCCTCCGCACCTCCGCGGGGCCGACGACCGCAGCAGCAACCATGGCAGCGAGCGCGGCTCCGAGCGTGGCGACGATCGCCGTGGCGGCTACGGTGCCCGTGGTGGCCGCGACAACCACCGCGAACCCCCGGCCACGAACTCGCGCTGGTCTTCGTTCGAGTCGGCGCCCCGTGACAACTACCGTGGCGGCGGCGGTGGCCGTGAAGGCGGCTACTCGCGTGACGGTCCTCGTGAAGGTGGCTTCTCGCGCGGCGGCGGTGGCGGCGGCGGCTACGGCGGCCCGCGCAAGAACCGCATTGGCTTTTATGGCGACATGAACCCGAACGCGCGCCTCGAGCAAGAGCTCTTTGGCGACTGCCAGTCGTCGGGCATCAACTTCGACAGCTACGATGACATTCCCGTCGAGACGAGCGGTGAAGGCGTTCCGCCGCCGGTCACGACCTTTAACGAAGCCGAGCTCGGCCCCGAAGTTTGCAAGAACCTCGAGCACTGCCGCTACGACAAGCCGACGCCTGTCCAGAAGTACTCGATCCCGATCGGTCTGGCTGGCCGCGACATGATGGCCTGTGCCCAAACGGGTTCGGGTAAGACGGGTGGTTTCCTCTTCCCCACACTCGCGTCCATGCTCCGTAACGGTCCCGCCAGCATTGATGAGGAGACCGCGAGCGGTGGTCGCCGCCGCAAGATCTTCCCGTCGGCGCTTATCTTGGCGCCCACGCGCGAGCTCGCGTCGCAGATTTACGACGAAGCCAAGAAGTTCTGCTACTGCACGGGTATTGCCCCGGTCGTCGTCTACGGTGGCGCCGACGTTGGCAGCCAGCTTCGCAACCTTGAGCGCGGCTGCGACATGATGGTCGCCACGCCCGGTCGCCTTGTCGACTTGATTGAGCGCGGCCGCGTCTCGCTCGCCGGCATCCAGTTCCTCATCTTGGACGAAGCCGATCGCATGCTCGACATGGGTTTCGAACCGCAGATTCGCCGCATCGTCGAGCAGGAAGACATGTCGCGCGAGCGCCAGACGTTCATGTTCTCGGCCACGTTCCCGCGCGAGATCCAGCGCTTGGCCTCAGACTTTCTGCGCGACTACATCTTCTTGACGGTCGGCCGCGTCGGCGCCGCCTCCAAGGACGTCAAGCAGACGGTCGTGTACGTCGACCCGCAGGACAAGGAAGACTACCTCATCCGCTTCCTCAACCAAGTCCAGGACGGCCTCATCCTCGTGTTCGTCGAGACGAAGCGCGCGGCCGACTTCCTCGAAGATATGCTCTGCCACGAAGGCTTCCCGGCCACGTCGATCCACGGTGACCGCTCGCAGCGTGAGCGTGAAGAGGCGCTTGCGTCGTTCCGCTCGGGCCGCACGCCTGTGCTTGTCGCGACGGACGTCGCCGCCCGTGGTCTCGATATCTCGGGCGTGACGCAGGTCATCAACTACGACTTGCCGTCCAACATTGACGACTACGTCCACCGCATCGGTCGTACGGGCCGTGTCGGTAACGTCGGTAACGCGCTCTCGATGGTCAACGACAAGAACCGCAACATCATCCGCGAGCTCCACGAACTCCTCCTCGAGAACGGCCAGGAGTGCCCCGACTGGCTCGGCCAGATGCACCAGAGCAGCTTTGGCCGCGGCGGCGGTCGTGGCGGCGGTCGTGGTGGCCGTGGCGGCGGCTCGTCGCGCTTCGGCGCCCGCGATTTCCGGAAAGAGGGCGGCGGTGCTCCGTCGCGCCCGGCCGGTGGCGACCGCGGTGGCTACGGCGGTGACCGCGGTGGCGCTGGCTATGGTGGCGGCTACGGCGGTGGCAACGGCGGCGGCTACGGCGGCAGCTCGGGCGGCTACCGTGGCGGCAGCGACAACAGCGCCTGGTAGGCGCCGGGTGATGGCTCTCTTGCTGGATCCCATAGAGGCACTGCGGCTCGTGGTGTCGTTTTAGGATAGTTCGAAGATTGTGTACTATTATTTATAGTGGTACTTGAGCGGGTGTAGATTTGTCTCGAAGTATTCTTCTTGGTTGTTTGATTCAGAAAGGTAGAGAGCTGTTGCGATATACAAGATCAATAAATGACTTAACTCTTATATTGTACTCTGTCACAGCACTGCGACTAGCACAACAGGGCGTCGAACACACAACATGTGTAGGTATTCAAGCGCATAGTAGTCTTGGCACTAGGCAACGGTCGCCTGGTCGGCCAAGGTCGCAGCCACGAGCGTCGCGGCATGGGTCGCCACCATGACGACCGTCGAGTGGACGTTGCCTAGTAGTATCAATCAATCAACTCGAGTCTTTTGGCTGGTACCGTTGGGAATCACGGGAATCACAGATGCGTCAGCGACAAAGAGGTTGGTCGTGTTCCAGACACGAAGCGACGCCGAAACAACGCTGTTGGTCGGGCTCGACCCCATCTTGGCACTCCCGACCCTAACCTCCATCGTGAGTTCGGACATCAACAGCCCTGTACCAATGCGAGTTGCGGTACACGTTGGCAAAGACCCGCGCCAAGAGCGCTAGCACGCGCGTTTGTGACAACAAACCACACGTGAGGAGCGTACCGTCGTCCGAGGCAAGCGCGGCGCCCGGCATGCTCTCGCCCCCGAGCAGCGGCGCCAGGGCTACCAAGCGCGGTAAACCCTAGCCCTAGAATGGAACCCGAGCCGCACCTGGGGCTTGCACCAAGTCGCGGACGATGGCAATGCCGAAGAGCAACTTGCGCGCGTCGACCTCGCTCAGGTGCTCGCTCGCCGCTTCGGGGATCTCGCTCGTGACGTGGCAGGCTACGGACGCGTTGCGCGACGTGACCACGACCTGGTTGCGCGCTTCGGGCGCTACGAACCAACGTCATATAGCCTCGTTGTCCTATCTCGCAACCCTACTCAAGAGTGCGATCGTGAAAAGAACTTCGTCGCCCGGCGTCGTGGCCCACTGCGGCTCCGACTTGCGCGGGAAAAACGTCAGCTGCAGGTCGGGCACCGTGCTTCCCGGCGTCGCAAAAAAGGCGCCGACCGAGAGCCCCGTTGTGCTGAGCCAGCCGCCTCGCTGCGCCAAGTAGTCGTCCCACGCCATCCTACTCACGTCATACATACAGAAGCACCCAAGCACGCTAGCGCCGTGGTACGTCATGTTGATGTTGAGCGGATGGCTCGCCTATGAACCGTCTTCGATAGCGCAAAATTGCATATATTCGAGCATGTACCGTATACGTCAAGGCGATCGCAGGGTGGTCTTGGAGGTTGCGACCCACGAGCGGCAAATCGACCGCCACGGGAATACCGAGGTCACGCAGCACGTCTTTGGGCGCAATCCCTGCGCGCCGCTTTCTCGAGTCCGGCTTCGTGACACGAGAATATCTGTACCTGAGAGCGTGAGCAGCTTGGGGGTGTGAATCGCGCCAGCCGTGAGCACGACGCCGCGCTTGCTTGCAATGAACTGGAGGTCGCCATGGGCGGCGCGGACGTGGACGCCGCGGGCGACACCGTCCTGCAGCGCAACCCGCTAACGCGATACTTGGCAAATTCGAGTAAAATCGACGGCATGTACCTCGACCGTCGTATTGAGACGCAAATGCAAACGCGCTTGCGTCGCTGCGTCGAGCTTCTTGTTGATAAACGGTCCCAGGAATGCCTAATGAGATGGGCAATTAACCTAGAAAACCCAAGGAGGACGTGTACCTTAGCGGCACTTTCGCGCATGCCGTGCCGAATGTTAAAGTGGTAGATGCCGGCGCCAAGACGTTGGTCGGGTGCGTTAAAGTCGCTCGACGCTGGGATTCCTCGCTACGTGGAATCGCTGACTATGAAATGGCAACAAAACCACGACCGTACTTCAGCGCAGGCAGCAAGGAACTGGTTCGAGAGACCGTCAATCTGCGTCGGCGCGCCTACAACGCTGCGTGACGTTCGGCTCTGAAATCGATCGCATACTAGTTTGGACAATGCCATTGTAGCCGTGATGCGCCACGCTTGGTCCGTCAAAGGCCTCGGTCGCCAAGTAAATGGCGAGCGCGGTCGCCCATGTCCACGTCGGCGCGAGGCCCCACGCAGCAATGTCACTGGGCAGCGCGCGCACTAAGAGCCACAGCATGACGCATTCCTGTGAACGAGCCAATCGTACCATAAAGCATGGCGTTGTGAATGCCGCAGCCGCCGAGCGCCTTGGCGACGAACACGCCGGGCACGGCCCAGTGGAAGCTCGCCATGCGCGAGACGTCGCTCCAGTAGTATGGCACGTCGAACGGCGTGTACGGCATGTCTTTTCCCTCAAACGAGATAAAAGTCTACGCAGCGATCCGAGATACAAAGCTACGAGTTGATGAACGGACCTCGCCGCCGAGCTCGCGCTGGGACGCGTCGCCGGCTTCCAAGAGCAAAACGCTCCAGTTGGTCGCCTGGACGAGCTTGCTCGCGAGGACGGAGCCCGCTGGGCCCGCACCAACGATAATGACATCGTACTACGACGGCCCATGATGCGACGTGCCAGCTCGATGACATGTACCTCGATCGCGGCCGTGGTCAGCGTTGGCTCGGCGGGCGTCAGCGCTGTGAGGCAGAGGCCCACGGCAGCTGCGATGGCAAGCGCAACGAGAGTGCGATGCCATGTGCGGTAGGCTCTCGGTGGTTGCGCGCGCCGCGGCAGCAGCGGCGTGTCTTCCATCGGGGTCATCTCCATTGCACGTTCCACGGAAAGTGCGATCTTCCTGACGACCGGTGATTGGGTCAAATTCCATCGACTAAAATCACCCAAATACCCCGAGGTTAATGCGCCTGTTGACTGCGAATACTGAAGAAGCGCGAAGCAACCATTCGCTTGGAATGCCCTCGATGGACGTCGTGCGCCAGAACAACGGGCGCTGCTTGGCGTAATTCGTCCCACTGTACTGTTTCGCTCGCCATTAAGTACGCGCTCGACACTGTTCAACTGTTTGAAAGAGACTAGCCGACCGCACCAATTGCACAAGGTCAGCAGCACGCTATTCTTTTGCTCCCGCCCCACGAGTAGTGCTAGATGGACGACGAGAACTCGGCGAATGGCACGAAGTACGCAGAGCCCAACATCTACCAGAGGTCCTTAAGTCCTAGTCGCGAATACTGTCACAGGTACAGCACTTACCGTAGCTTTGACTGAGAGATGTGTTCTTGTACCGGGTAGCTTCGATGGAAGCCACGGTGAGCGGTGCATACCATTGGCGCTGATTCATGTTCTACTGTTCGTTTGGGCAAAACGAAAATGGGCTTCACAAGAAAAAGGAAAAATTAAAATCTAAAACCATATTAAAAAGGCTCGATGTAGAAAAGACCTAGAAAGTGCTTTTTAAAGTTCAACATCGCATCGAT